CAGGGTCTCTATCATATCAGAATAGGTTCCTCTTTTAATTCAATGGCTATATTGTGCAATACTATAAACACTAAATCTGTTTTTCCAACACCAAAACATCTCTCTACGCTATTGCGAGTTCTGATGTGGCATAATTGTATGATTCTTCTTTATGATTTTTTATTTTGTAAGAGAATAATTATAAATATTTATTTATTAAATTTTTCAAATGTAAACTGAACTTTATTGACTATAATGACTCCTTTTCCAGGCTTTGATTATTTAATTGTAATTAATTATTTGCATGCAATCAAAATCTATTTCTAATAATGCCAAAGAAGTATAACTTCTTACGCGCGTACATAAGTACACCACCCTTTTTTTTTTTACCATAGGAAAGTAGAGATTTCAACGAACTGAAAGCACACCAACTTTTTGAATATTTTATTATATTTTGACGGGTGAATTTTCGATTGAAAATTAGGGTGCTTTTTCGATATTAATTCAAAATAAGGTGAAAAAATTATTATTTCATATCAAACAAATTACAGCGTATTAAAGACATAAAAAGGTAAGTTTTCACCAAATTTCGTGGAAAAAAAATAAATTTTGTAAAATATAAAAATTAAAAACCAAAAACTTGGTTTTTTGAATTTTTCACATAAATTTTGAGGTTATGTGAAAAATGAGTAAATACAAAAGTTTTAGATCTTTTTATTACCTACAACTTTGCCATTTAACTTTTTTCCATAGGACTTTTAGTTTTGCCGGAAATCGAGATAAACCGTTTTTTACCCTTAAACCCCCCTTCCCCTTCCCGACCTCAGGTCGCCCGTAAATTATTTTTCCTTTAATTTTTATAATATTCTCCTCCCTTTCCAATAGGTTCATCCTACTATTATTTTTTTAGGTTTCAAAAATTATCGACCCTGGTCTACTAATCCTTAACAATATTAAAGATTGAGACTTTTGAAAAGACAATCGGGTTAATAACGAATTTATTTTATCAGACAGCAAAAACGTGAAGTCCCCGAAGCATGCTTGATATTTAGTAAACTTTTAAATAGCTATAGTTTTATAGAGAGAATATTAGTAAAAAAGAAAAAAAAATAGAAATATCCTGAAAGTACTTAATCTGACTTAAAGATTCTTTGCCAAAGAGGTACTGTAGGCTCAAAATTCACTAGATATTGCTTTAATTTTTTTTATATTTTGCGTTACATATATTAGTTAATCATAGTTAAACGAAACATCTATTTGAAGTAGAGGTTTCTATTAATAATAATTTAAATAATAAAACATTGCTTGTACATATTAGAACTTACCGCAATCCTCAAAGATTACAGAGGCGCGGGTCAGGGAACAGAAATACAACAGCAAACAAATTACGTACATTCGTACGAAAACATAAAACCTATTGTACACTGTGTTCTCTAATATACTGGACACTGCCGATTACCTATCGCAGAAGATAAGGCAATTCTGGTAGTGCATTATATTCATTAAGCCCATTAATAATCATTTTAATTATAAGTAGCTGATTTATTGTAAGTAGGTAAATGATATACAGTAATGATATCATAATATGTGGCGTAATTAATGAATAATATATCTGCAGATAGAAGACGTGGCGGTTCAGAAAAATATATTTTACGTTTAGTAAGTCACTCGAGATATGCAAAATTTTCTAATATTACACCTTTGCCACTCTTTTTGGTGTCAAGACTCCAGCTGCAATACTGACTGCTCATTTAATCTGCGGCGTGTGTGGTGGTAACACCAAAGGCACAGCACTGTCTCAGGAAAGATTTCCTAACGGACGTCATCCCCATTATCAAGTGTTTATATGCGTGCAATGCATCCTTGGAAGCTCAAAACCTGGAACTGGATGGTCACTAGTACAATTTTTCTTTTTATTTATTTATTTGACAGAATAATACAATCTAAATCTTGGTACATTATATTTAAAAACCACTGTACTTTGTATTAATGTAATAATTGCAGTGTTTGTAAGATATAAAACTATGCGTTTGTTGGCTGTTGCGCATTTGTTTGTATTATTGAATTCTTAATAATTAAGAGCGCTTGATCAAATCGCAGCTGTTCCGACCACCTCTGTGCGGACCATACATACACATGCATGTCGGCTAGAACAGAGTGTAGAATATTAAAACAAGAAAAGTTGCACCCATCTCATTATCAGCATGGTGGAAACTTTGAACACCTTTTGTAAAATTTAATCTATTAAACGATATTTTAAAATTGTTATTTTACTCGATTCGACTTAATTATTAAATCCTACAGTTAAATAATATTTTTTTTACAAATATGTAAAATAAAAGCTGTTGAGTAATTTTAATAGGAATTTATTTGTATTCAATGATGGAAATACGGTAACTCGGAATCTCAACGAAACAGGCATGTTTTTTCTTCTTTTGGCATTCAGATGACCAAGCATGAAGCGTACTTGCATGAAAGCATGTAAGTACGCCCATTTCCATAAATAATACCCAAAAACAGATTTATAAAAATTCCTTCATTTGGTGTCTTACGCCGTTTGTCCACCGCCTCCGTCACCGGGACGTCACCGAGAACAAGGTTATTTCGGGCCGAGTTTAAGATGACGTGACTGCTATTGTTTGTCCACCGCGCCGATATATCGGTGGCTCAGTTCTAAGTAAATTATAGATATATTAGTAGTTCAGTTCAGTTTATAAGGAGCTGCAACCATTACACCATATTCCACATGACATCTTAAGTAATAAATAATAATAAAATAAATTAAAAACAAAGATTTGTCCTATATCAACCGGAGGCATGGTGAAATAGGAGCACGCACTTACATTTTCGTGCGAACAACACGCAAACAAGTGTGAACAACACGTGTGGACAAAAACAAACGTGTTTTGTGTAGCTGGCACATCGGCCAGTCATAAAACCGGGCCGAATTCTAGCGGTCACGCCGAACTACTCGAAATTTCGGCGGCCGGGATGACGGCGCCGCGCTCGGGTGACGGGCGTGCGGTGGACACATGGCCATATTAAATGTATGTATCGCTAAATCGGCGCCGTCATCTCGTTCTCGGTGACGTCCCGGTGACGGCAGCGGTGGACAAACGGCCTTAGCGTTTTCAAAAAGTTTATCAAAAAGTGTGTTATTTTCGAAATTAAATAAATTACACTTTGCCAAAAATTGCCACCGCCACATTCTTTCGCCGCCGTCTTCTACACACAGGTATTATCCATTCATAACGCCACACCTGTAGGTATGTACAAAATGAAGTGTCAAGTTTTTATTATTTTATCCTCACTAGAATTAGATGTACTTAGTAAATTTATATAATCATATTTTACACTAAATAAAAGTAAAATCTTTAGATCTTTTTCTACAAACTACGAGATTGCGGATGAAATGGATACCTTCCAGCGTCAACTTTCAAAGCAGCTGGGATCATCCTCTTTGTAAATCTGAATTCCAAAACTTATTAGGTCACACCTCAATTACAGACCGCGTAAGGTGGCAGTGGGATCTATGGAAGCCTAACGAAGCTTAATGCTTATCCTTCGCCAAACACTGGCAACCTTTTGGACCCTGAATCACTTCTCATTGATATCAGCGTACGCTTAGGAGTGCCCATATGTACTACCCATAAGTGTCCCTATGACTTTGAAGTAAGTAACCTTGGACATCATGACCTCCATTGCCGAAAGAGTGCAGGTCATTTTTCTCGCCACGCCGCGTTCAACGACATCATACGCCGCACTCTTGCATCCGTCAATGTTTCAGCCATTTTGGAGACAACTGGCGTCTCTAGGAACAGTGGCAAGCGGCCGCATGGGATGTCTATGATCCCTTGAAGGATGGAGCAGGAGGAAAGACATCCTCTTTGTAGACACTCTTTGCCCTTGGGGGTTCACGTGCGCAGGTGCTAATTAAGTTGGCTCCTGGTAGATAATACTCGTGACCCCGGCTGGTGCTTTTCTCGCTCACCGAATAAGTATCGCAATACAGCGAGGAAATGCCGCCAGCATTAAAAGTACACTACCACAGACCAAACATTTTAAATTTGTTTAAATTTTCGATTTATCAATCATTATTAATACTCTGTAGGTGAAGTATATTGTATATAATCTAGAGTTCTAAATATGTACTGTATTTGTATTTGAGTGTTGTGAAAACACCCAAAGTCTAAATTCTAAAATGTCTTTTAACAAACGTAATTAACCAAATCTCTTCTTATATTTTGTCAATGTGCAACACAGAATACAGATGAGCCACTAGCAGTGATGCAAATTTAGGGGAAATTAAGATGTCCAGGGGTTTTTAGGGGCATTTTACTTTATTCAAGATTATATTTATTATTAAGCCTTGAACCCAACCACCAAACTTAACCAAATATAAACTCCAAGCGTAGCTATAACTGAAATATCAAAAAGTTGTAATACTCCAAGATCGAAATAACAGCGAAATAACAGCTATTTTATACTAATTAAAACTATTAAAGTAATGTATTTTTAATGCATGCATTAAATTAATTTAATGTGTACAACAAAAACTTAAGGTGTTTTTAATTGACATAATATGTCAATTAATTTATTATTTATTTATTATAGGGGTATTTCAATTTGGTCCCGGGGAAACATTATGTAGGGGTTGGCAATTGGCATCACTGTGCACTGGCTACTATAGTCGTAATTTTAATTAGACGAAGTCAACTGATTCAAAGTTTTTTTTTCAAAGTAATAATTTATTTCATAACCATGGATACAGAGTCCTTCAGTCGGAAATTCCGACTCGGCATCATAGAATTACATAAGGTCCTTAAAAGTATGTAATGGTAAAGTGCAAATGTTATATTTATACCATAAATAATAAATATAATATTAGCATAAACATTCTTAAGCAATTACTTTAATACAAATTGTAATTATATGCAAATTAAGTATAAAATATTAAAACTAAATAACTTAACACAAAACTATTCTATACAATTGGAAATATTTCGACTAACTCTATGTAATTAAATTTGTTCAACTGTGTTTGAAATAAATTTAAACACAGGTAAGAAAAAAGCACGATAAGATAGTAAATCTCGAGGGCGGCGGGGAACACTTAATGAATTTTCTTCTGCGACATCACTAATGACACTTGCAAGTAATAAACGTTGGATGTTAAACATTTCGCATTCAAACAAGACATGCTTTATATCGGCATTTTCCTTTGAACAATATGTACAATTATCATCAAGAATGATTTTCTTCCTCTTAAGATGTGCTGGAACACAGCAGTGTCCTACATGTAAGCGATTTATGCACGTTATGAACTTCCTATTATTGTATTTGAAGCTGTTATACCATGGGATCATTGGTAAATCTCTCTGTATTTCTGAGTACCATTGTCCTTTATTTAATATCTCTGTATTGTAGTTCCAATATTCTTTCCATCTTCTCTTGAGATGAATCTTTATCTGCATATAATAGTCTGTGAAAGGCACTTTGAAAGAGTCTGTTAAATCGTCATCATGGTCCCGACGAGTTGCCTCGTCCACAACCTCATTGCCAGTTATACCACTGTGGGAGGGTACCCATACAAATTCTACATGCTTTTCTAACTTGTACAGTAAATCCTTAATTTTATATACAATATAATTCTGTTTATATCCTAAGCTACAATTACCCAATGCTGTTAAAACACTCTTAGAATCACTTACAACCAAAATATTTACATTATTTACATTACTATTTACATATGTTAAAGCAGCTAATATTGCCCAAGCCTCAGCAGTGAATATACTACAAGTTATAGATAATCTCAAGCATTTAGTTAATTTCATTTGTGGGTCGTAGAATGCTGCCTTAACAGTCTCACATTTGGAACCATCAGTATATATAATATAAAACTCTGATTTATCACTTCAAACTTATTTTTAACAGAGTCTAAATTACATTGTTATTTGTCAAGTTTTTAATATATGACATTATGGTTGGAATTTCAGGTAACAAGCCTGAAATCAGTGTATTTGTTGAGATGCTGCTTGCTTCAATTGACTGAGTTATTTCTACAGGATAAGAGACTCTATCAAGGATAACACTGTTCTCATTTGCCAGCTCCTTCAAACAAAATCGCTCAGCCAACTGTAAGCATCGCAAGCACAGTGGAGGTATACAGTTTTCTACTTCCATACTGTTTATAGGAGTGGTGCGCATAGCTCCACTTATTACTCTCAGTCCAATATTTTGTATTACATCCAGTTTTCTTAGTAATGTACTATTTACATTCATATAAGCCAAGGAACTGTAGTCAAAATGACTTCTGACTATGCTTTTGTACAGCATGTTCAAAGTTTTTGGATCTGAGCCCCAAAAAGTACCTGCCAAACTTCTCATTACATTAATGCTTTTCATGGCATTTTGGCATATGTACTGAATGTGTTTATCAAATTTTAGTTTGTCATCCACTACTACACCAAGAAATTTATGGTGATTAACTATAGGGATTTTATCATTGTTATAGGAAATATTTACAGTGTGTGCAAATGGATCTTTACTGAATACTAAAACTGAGCTTTTCTCTGAACTTATTTCTAATTTCAAAAAAATTCTGTAATAAGTCTGAAGTTTATTTAATGCTGTGTTTATGCTATTAACCGCTATGTTTAAACTTTGATTTTCACTATACAAAAGTAAGTCATCAGCAAATTGCAATATTTTAACCTGGGGTATATTTACATAATCCAGTATTTGTGATGTATACAAGTTATACAACAATGGTGACAAAGTTGCACCTTGCATTGTTCCTTTATTGGCCTGTTTAGGTCCATGGGGTAAATTGATTTAACCACCATTTTAAAGTGAATTACTTTAATTTCATGTTTGGTTACAATATTCACTTAATATAATATAAAGAAATAAACATATGTGCGTCAAATACCAAGCCACCAAGCGCACAGGCCACGTACTACCCGTTACCTGCGTACACGCACACATTCACGCGCGAATCCCGCAAGACCAGTTTTTATATAGTTCTGTGCGAGTGACGATATTACGATATCGATGTAAAATGTCGATAAAAATATGAAATTTATGTGAATATGAAATGTATGTTTATACATGTGTATGCTACATCACTCCCCTCCAGAGCCCATCAAGGGCGATAAAAATCAGGAAAATTTACCCTGCGCCCAGATCGAGTAATATTGGCTTGTTTAGGGTCTGAAGAAGTAGGAGGTTTTTCTGCATTAGACAAAATAAAAGCAGGTTTTAAACGATCGATTGAAACTGATACAACATTCGATTTTACTAAAATTTTGAAAACTTTATCACCTCTCGAAATGACCTTGTAAGGACCTGTATAAGAAGGTTGAAGAGAGCCTCGTAAAGCGTCTTCACGAAGGAAGACAAAATCACAAGACTGTAGTTCCTTAAAAACGAACACTTTATGTTTACTGTGTCGTGATGCTGGTGTAGGACGTACTTTCTCAGCGAAACTACGTAACCTCGCGGAAAACTCAGATAAGTCTGTAGTTCCATTACTTGTAGGCTCGAAAAATTCGCCAGGAAGTCTAAGGGGTTCACCATAAACTAAATCAGCTGATGAAGACTGTAAATCATCTTTGAATGAACTCCGTATTCCTAACAAAACCCACGGCAACGACTCAGTCCACTTGTCATTAGCGTGGCAGACGATCGCTGCTTTCAGCTGGCGATGGAATCGCTCAACCAGACCGTTGCATGCTGGGTGATAGGCTGTTGTGCGCTTGTGCTCAAAACCAATCAACTGAGAAAGATATTTGAACAAAGCGGATTCAAACTGTCGGCCACGATCAGTTGTGATAGCCGTAGGACATCCAAAACGTGCTATCCAACAAGAAAGTAAAGCTTTGGCTGTGGTTTCAGCTGTAATATCTTCAATCGGTATTGCCTCTGGCCATCGAGTAAAACGATCGACGGCAGTAAAGCAATAACGGTAGCCACGAGAAAGAGGTAGAGGCCCTACAAGATCAATGTGGATTTCTTTAAACCTTGCTCGAGGCAAGGGAAAAGATCCAAGTGGAGCGTTAACGTGGCGACTAACCTTCGCACGCTGGCAAGCGATACAACAACGCGACCATTCTCTGCAATCTTTACGTACCCCAGGCCAAACGAAACGCTCAGAAATAAGTTTTACAGAAGCATTAGCTCCGGGATGGCTTAAAGAATGGAGACTGTCGAAAATTTGCTTGCGAAGGGAACTTGGCACATACGGTCTGGCAGTCGATAAACTGACGTCACAGTAAAGAGGAATTCGGCTACCAGGAACCATAAGCTGTTTTAAATTTAACGATGAACCAGCGTTCAAGAGTTTTATGAGATCTGGATCAGACGATTGAGCTTGAGCTAGAAGGTCTAAACTTACAGGTTCTGATAATTCATCAACAACTCGAGACAAAGCATCAGCAACAACGTTATCTTTGCCGGATATATGACGAATATCTGTAGTAAACTGAGATATAAAATCTAAATGTCTGAACTGTCTAGGCGAACAACTATTTTTCCTTTCATGGAAAGCAAAGCTGATCGGTTTATGATCTGTGAAGACTATAAAATTTCTCGCCTCTAACATATGCCTAAAATATTTAATGGCTTCATAAATGGCTAATAATTCACGGTCGTACGGTGAATATTTGACCTGTGAAGGACTTAACTTCCTCGAGAAAAATGCTAACGGCAGCCAAGCACCATCCGCTGATAACTGCTGCAAAACTGCCCCAATAGCTTTGTCAGACGCATCTGTCACTAAAGCTAGTTTGGCTGAACAATCTGGGTGAGCTAATAACGCGGCTTCTGCTAAACTATTCTTACAGTCTTGAAATGCAGATAACGCATTGCCCGAAATAAGGATGGGTTGAGATCCTTTAACAGAATTTGTGAGCAAGGCGTGAAGCGGTGCTTGAATTTCAGCGGCCCTTGGAAGAAAACGCCTGTAAAAATTTAACATCCCAAGAAAACCACGAAGTTGGCGAATGGTTGTTGGTGGCGGAAAATCAAGTATGGCTTGCACCTTGGACTTTAACGGCTTCGTACCACTTTCAGAAATGGAGTATCCTAAAAATTCCACCTCCTTTACGCCAAAAACGCATTTTGATGTATTCACCAGCATACCGTATTTTGCGAGTCTTTTAAAAAGTTCACGTAAATGTTGTTCATGCTCCTCACTGCTTCTGGAAAATACCAAAAAATCATCTATATAGCAGTAAACGAAGTCTAAACCACGTGTTATTTCATCCACAAACCTTTGGAAAGTTTGTCCCGCATTTCGGAGACCAAAAGTCATATATGGAAATTCAAACAATCCAAAGGGTGTCGTTATGGCAGTCTTAGGAACATCTTCAGGACTAGTGGGGATCTGATTATAGGCTTTCTCCAAATCAATGGTGGAGAAGATTTTACAACCAGAAATGTGTGAAGAAAAATCATGGATGTGTCTTATAGGGTATTTATCGGGTACTGTGCGGGAATTCAGTCTACGATAATCACCGCATGGACGCCATCCATTATTTTTCTTCGGAGCCAGATGTAGGGGAGAAGACCATGGACTTTCTGATGGTCGAGCTATACCAGCAGCAATCATGGATTCGAACTCTTTTTTAGCAATAATGAGTTTGTCTGGAGCCAGTCGACGTGGAGTTGATGATACGGGAGGACCAGGAGTAGTGCGTATGTGGTGTACAGTATTGTGTGGTGTAGTGTTACAAGTACCGGCTGGTTTACAAATTTCAGGAAATTCATTTAAAATTCTATGATATACAGATTTACCAGTAACTACTAATTTAACAGATAAAACATCTTTACATCTAATAGTTTTAACCACAGCTGAAATTGACGTTAAATTGTCAATAAGACGTTTATTCCTACAATCTACTATTAAATTATAAAAGTTTAAAAAATCAACACCAATTATAGGTCTAGTTACATCGGCTACTACAAAACGCCATGGAAAAACACGTCTTAACCCTAAATCTAAGTCTAAATTTACAAAACCATAAGTAGCTATACTAGAACCGTTTGCAGCACACAAACTATAATCAGTCTTAGGTCGACGATCGTGTAATTTCGATCGAGGGAAAACGCAGAGGTCGCTGCCAGTATCAACTAAAAACTGCATTTTCGACTTCCGATCCATGACAAAAAGACGACCAGGTGAGGTAGTGGGGCAATCGCCAGTCGCCATTATCGACTGCCCTGAGAGTTTCCCGACTTGAAGTCACACGGTCGCACACATTTGTGAGCTCCTTCTGCGAACTTGCTATGATACCAGCACACAGGAAACTTCCGGTAACTCGATGAAGATCGCTCTCTTGATTTCTGCCGACTGTTTTTTGAAGACCGAAATTGAACTCTTCTGCTGCGTAAGGACAGATTCTTGACTTGCTGACGAAGCTCTGCTATTTCCTTAGTCAACTCATTGACTAATGTAACGCCTTGTTGAACCGCAGAAACACTCGGTGCTGTAGACGCAAGGTCAACCACTCTATCAGCTAAGTCAGCTAAATCGTCTAGCGGTGCTGACACCGGTTGGCCTGCGAGCACCGTTTGTACACCATGTGGAAGACGGCTTATCCAAATAGTTTTTAAGAAATCTTCAGGTACGCCAGCGCCCGCCAAACTTCGTAAATGACGAAGAAATTGTGAGGGTTTTCTCTCACCCAACTCCTCATGCATCAATAACTGCTTTATTTTCTTCTCCCGGGATGCGCTGAGTCGCTTTATTAACTCAGTTTTCAGCTTCTCATAGCGGTCGGAAATTGGTGGGTTGATAATTATGTCTTTTACTTCACGAGAATACTCATTGTCTAAGTGACCGATGACATAATTGAATTTAGTCGAATCATTAGTTATTCCGGATATTGAAAATTGACCCTCAATTTGGGCAAACCAAATTTCGGGTTCCTCTGGCCAAAACGGGGGAACACGTACACCAACTTTAAAAACATCGACATTCGATGGCACAGCACTAGTGGTGTCTCTGTTGATCGACATGGCGTTCACCTTTAAAAATTTTCAAGGTCAAGTTGTTTTGTACTGAAGTCCAAATGGTCGTTGAACATGTGATATTATATTATACTGTTCACTTATCACTTTTTTACACTGTACACTAATAGTTTATTCACTTCAGTAATACGGGGTAATACTGTTCAAACGAATGTTCAAGAATCCAGACCGGAATCGCCAAAACGTTTATCGGGGTCACCAGTATGGGGTAAATTGATTTAACCACCATTTTAAAGTGAATTACTTTAATTTCATGTTTGGTTACAATATTCACTTAATATAATATAAAGAAATAAACATATGTGCGTCAAATACCAAGCCACCAAGCGCACGGCCACGTACTACTCGTTACCTGCGTACACGCACACATTCACGCGCGAATCCCGCAAGACCAGTTTTTATATAGTTCTGTGCGAGTGACGATATTACGATATCGATGTAAAATGTCGATAAAAATATGAAATTTATGTGAATATGAAATGTATGTTTATACATGTGTATGCTACAGGTCCATGTAACTTATTATTAAATTTAACATATATAGTCCTATTGTGCAGGAAATTGAAAATCCAATTTAGAGTTTTTCCTGGTATACTCAATTTATGTAAAATTTTGTTTAGGCTCTCAATATCAACAGTATCAAAGGCACCCTTAACATCTAAGAAGACACAAACAACATTAGAGTGACTAATCTTAGCTTTTTTGAGATCAGCAATGAAAGATACAAAGCTTTCAGAGCAACTTCTACCTTTCCTGAATCC